ACTTGAGCTTCCTACCACTTCCCTATTTTCCTCTCTCTCACTCCATAGCATTCTCTTCTTCCTCGATATTTTATCTAACTCCAAAGAAAAGAAACCTATCGCGCGTGTATTATCTACGCGTCTCGCAACCTCAATCTGTTCTTTGAGATCTTTTTCTTCCCGTTCTAATCGACAATACCTCTTCCATTCCTCAAACCAAAAACACAAGAGTGCAACGACCAATTTCTGACCACTGATCGAAAGGCTGGTAGAAGCAAGCTGATGTGGGAAGTTCTTGGTAATCGCGGCCGTTTTGACCGGAGGCTCATCTTCCATGCTATGTCTCGGGGCCAACATCCCAGGTTCAAGAGCAGTAGGTGCTTCTAATATGATGCCGTGTTTGATAAGAGCTTTCTGGATCTTCACACTGGAACTTTCCATATCGACAATGTCGGTTACCATAAAAGCTCGCTCGCCGAGATACATGGGATACGGAAGACGTCGTTGATATTTGATGAGAGCATCGGCTTGAGCGGGAGTGAGAGAGACATCGGTGAAGGGGTGAGCTTCGGAGAAGACATTGCCGACGGCATTGAGGAAGGCTCCGGAGAGTCTACGGACGCGTTCCATGATCGCTGATGGCCTTTGTATCACCACACTATTGTAAAAAATTCTAGTGGCTGATTGGATGATACTTGGTATGATAAGATGAGATGAGATGAATGCCCTTGTTCCGCATATGATATTGATACTGGGATGATTTGAGTCTGATCATGGAAGGTGCTCACGAACAAAAAGGTAAGTTATTCACGAATGAGGGGTGGTAATTTGCGCACATGTTTCGTACCCACTGCATCTCCATTCACCGTTCCACGCAGATAAAAGAATCAATATTATTGGTTCAAAAGAGCAAGACGGACTGAAGAAGAAGAATAAGGCTACCCAAGCATCCAAGGATTTCTTATCAAAGTAGCATTACCAAAAAGATAAAGATAAAAATAATGTAACCCCGCTTTCAACCGATGGCGAAGCTGACATACCGATTCCACATTGAGAAATCAAGCACGAGACGCTGAAGGCTGGCTGCAGCAAGGGTTTCAGCTGAAGTTTGGGTCACGAAATGATCACTTGAACATTTCATCTCGTGACTATTTGGGCAAACAATTAGATATGCACATATCGTTACTCGGGTCTTGGAACTGGGGACGTCGTCGTCAATATTGTTGGGAGGCGTATTGTAGGATCAAATTCGCAAACTTGCGAAGGAAGATAAATCCCTCCCCACACTTAGCCAATACGAGGTACAACACAGTATGACAAGTGCATACCCAGATATCAAGATACGGTACCATCCTTTGAAGCGTCGTCAACCTCAACAACTATCGTGGCGATATTCATCAAGCAATGATACCTATCCATACAAAAAACCCGAGGCAAGCATACTTAATTACCGGTAATGAAAAATTGATAAACAATTTATTAACAATTTATTATTTTCGAGAATGATTCGAGAACGACAAACCAAAAGTATTGACGTGGTGTTGCACTGCCACAACGGCTTATGTCGAGCATCGTTCAACCTGTCGTCCGTGATGAAAATTGTCTGTTCCCGACTCGCGATTACGAACGGCTTTATGCGCATTGCCCTCAACTAAAATGTTCGCCCCTCTCGCTGGCAATGTCTGTCTAGGAAATAGAGAAACATTGCAGATATTCCGCCTTGTGTTCAGCTGATCCAGGATACCTACTTATGCCACGTTGATCGCGTTAAACTCATACCTCTCCTCGTACAGGCATTTTTGGTCTATCGGGGTCTATCGGGGGCATATTCGTAGTGATCTACTGACTAAGATACTGAGTGCATTTGGGATCTTGATTCTTGATCTGATAATCGCATCGACATTGTGGTCATCAATATGGCTGTGTTACATTTAGAAACATATTTAGAAGCCTGATACGGCCAGGGATTTCTGATGGATATCTATTGATGAGGCTAACAACCGGGGCCGTCACATTTATGCCATGAAATCCCAAACAAACAGATGCCCTACGTGCGATTTGTGTGGAAACGGCAGTTCTAGATATTCAAAACCTCGGATGATATGAGAGATCTCATGTGGATAAAGCGTGGCGAGAGAAAAAAAGAACAGGGCACGGCGCCAAATGGCAACGGCGATCCGAATAAAATATCTTCTGGACGAATCCGCAACGTGCTTTTCCGAATACCAGAAAATGGAAAGCCGATGTCATGCGTCACACTGCGTTTGTACCCTCTTTCCCATACCATAAAGTACAAGTATCTAAGCGCGCATGTAGAGTCACCTGTTGATGTTACCCTTACCTGATGCTATTCCTTGTTACGTATCGTGAGCTCTCTCGGGCATCAAGGTAGACATTGACCTCTTTAAAAGCGCTTCGATGCGGCCAAGGACAGATGATGAATGCATGTAATAGGTTGGAAAACTGGGAATATTGCTCACCGTAAGATACAGTACTCAATTGCGGGAAGGGTTTCAGCAAAGTTTGTGTCCTTGTGATCATGTCCTCCATAGATTCTCCGCCATCGAGATATCTTCCGATGGTGAAATCGAATTGAAGTCACGAGAATGGAGGATTTTGACATTTGATCTCGTGAATTAGTATTGATAGCGTTACGGCGTTACCTACCTATTGATCGATGATGTATACCTAGTCGGCTTGTGATGGATCCAAGGCTCGATGATTCATGAATCAATTGGTGTACGGTGTCGAGACGGTTGAGATTGTACCGTAGTGCAAGTTCTGGGATATCTCTGAGTCGTGCCTACCCACGACGGCAAGTTCATTAATGCCGGATGCAAGGCCCTAAGCCCGCAAGAGTTAGGCAAACTTTAGTTTATAATGGCTAAGTAATATAGGTAGATGCTAGATAGCCCTGCTCGGGCATGCCCGTTGACTATCACTCAAAAGCAGCGAGAAGGAGGGGAGACAGTTAAACAGCTCTCGTGGCGGTGCAAACCCATCTTTTTTATACATCATAAATCATTTTTAATAAAAAATAAGCTGTAAACAGATTTTATTACCAATTCGGCAGTCTATTTACCCTTTTGCCTACCTACCTACCAAGTATGATGTCTAATTATAGAAATACCAGCCCAAATGTTCGGAAAAAGCATGTGGAAAAAAATGCAGACTGTTCCATTGTAACGTCGCCACACTTCGTTACATCCTATCGTATAGCTTAAAACGCGTACACCGAGATTTGCTCAATGACTGTGCTTCTCTAGAGGTTCATGCTGTGAGGGTCATTGCCAGTATAGACCCTGAATTTGCATCGCAGGAACCTGTTCCTATGCATATCTACACCTCCACCATGATGTGCTCCCTATACCTGTGCGTGGAGGAATGATGACCTTCAACGAATACTTTGATTTATTATTACTTCCCCGAGAGCGATATCGTTGTAAGTGCATGACTGGTGGAACGGCAAGTTTACACGATTTTGGTTGGCAGGATTGCACCGGCTCGAAAGTTGGTTTGTGCGAATCAGAGCCCAGAAACGAGCTTTTGACAGCGACGCTACTTTGAGCAACTGGGATGGGCTTTTGTGATAAATGCCATCTACAGGCTCAGATTCATCGACGACGACTCAGTCTAGTAGAAAAATGTCAGAGTTTTTACCATCCACAGTCCACCTCTAAGAAATGTTTCGTCCGTCGTACCCCGGAAGAGTGGTGTCGCTCGCTGCTTAATTTGTTTGACTTTGTACATGGCCATGGCTCGCACGAAGAGGAAAACATGTCAAGACTCAGGAGAGTTCTGGAACTTCGAAATCCATTCATGCAGGAGATTCCAATTTTGGTGTATAACTGGGTAGATTATCGATGAAATAGGTCCAATATCCGGCCCTTCGTGCCTCCAGTCTCAGACTGGAAGATCCATAGTCGTCGTGAGGCTTCAGAGAGGTCTCTTAATCTCCAATACCTCTGTAGATTATGGAGATGTATGAGATTAGAACAAACTTTGTCTTGAACAGAATCACTGTGAAAACCTGTATGATGTTTCACATTGTTGACGCAACCTCACCATTATCAATTTTCTGCCTTTCTGTATGCGCTGAATATGCGTATGCATTGTGCTGTGCTGTACTGTGTGGAGGTGCAGGTTTGGGCTTGATGCAAGTCATCTTTTCATCGCCGGCCGAAGTTGAGGCCAGATGATATTGGCGATATGGTTAAATCTAGGAAAAATAAGGCCGACTGCATATTGCAACATGGGCCGATTAACTTAAGTAGGTAGTATCTGGGTGTAGTCGCAAAAGAGGAGTATCATAACGATCAAAGTGGTAAGGTAGCATTGAGAATTGAGAAGTCCGGTGAGTAAGAGCCGAGAGAAAGCCCAATTCATCCGCCCACAGTTATGATGCAGTGGGAGAGAGATCTCAAGCCCTTCGAGATTAGTTTTACTCCCCTTGACGCATCATAACACAAAACAATAGCCATATTCGTTTTTAGGGCAAGATGAAATTAAAGAGATGGCTATTGGGAAGGTTTGGGAAGGTTTGGGGAAGGTATCATCGTTGCAATCTCCGTGAATTGACTTTTCTTTTCTCATCATCGAAGTCATTGGTACGGAGTTCACCAGCCCAGCAATCAGTAATTATCTATGATGACTGATGGATGACTGAGATCACTGGATCTTACCCGATGAAGTATAGTTCCCACGGTTCCCATCATCTCATGGTTGATTATACTTTTCTGTGCCATGGTCAATGTCAATGTCAATTACCTAGTCAGCTAGTATGCCATATACCATGAGACGATATATTTTTCATATGTCAGAAACTCTATCGATTGCGATCAAAATGCAATCAAAATTTGACTTTGGAGAGCGGCATCCAAAACGGGACTACGGAGACTAAATACACACAAATACGATGGGATCTTCAAGGACATATCTCTTCTTCTGATTACCGATTATTTCCATTCCAATGTATTGCATTGTTACACCCTCGGCGGAATCAAGATGATGATACTAATTCATCACATCGTATTTTCGTCGCCTTTCTCCGGAGCTTCGTGGGCTGTGGTACGGCCGTGCATGTATGATATTCCTCTACCACGACCAAGGTAGGCATAGGCAGAGGTGGTAGATGTACATCGTAGAGCTACAGGAGAATATGAGATGGTCAATGGGCATTAGTGACCAAATAGAATCTGCTCCACGATACCGGGAAGTTCTCTGAGAAAAAAATGCAAGATTTTTACGGAGTACATTAAACTTTCAGCTGCAATGGTGACTGAAAGTGGATAAGTGGAAAACTCATTATCAGTCATCTTTTGATCACTTTTTATTGGCAAAATGTCCAGGGCTTGGGCTTAACAGGACAGGGCTTCATTACGGTGCAGCGTGCACTGTGCACTGTGCAGGTGGCCATTAGCTGTTCTTCGTTTTCTTTGCTCACAAAATAAAAATACCAGGGACCCTATTCAGTGGTATGCAGGTCTAATGCTCTAATGCAGCACTGCCCCCAGCTACTGCTTCACTGCTTTACTGCTTTTTGCTGCATCTGTCTGTCTGTCTGCTGCATCTGCTGCATTCGCTGCATTACTGCCACTATTGTTAGCACCCCCCCCTTTCGAGTATCTTTTGTTTCCACCGACCCGTAATCTTTCGATCGTTGCGGACGAAATTCAACGAATGAGGTATTTCATCGGAACTTTTTTTCAAGATGTGATGTGAGTGGAGACGGGGGATGGAGGTGGCATTGGTGTAATCTACAATATACAAGACTACTCTCACCCTCCCTCCTCTGCTAGACTGCTACACTTGACCACTTCTAGTATCTACTCCTAGCCTCTTTTACCACACCACATCTTATCCAAACTGGATCAAGCCTTCGGATAGAAAGTGGCTACGTCTATAGTTAAACCTTACGGGCACTACCACTAAGGGAATTCAAGATTTTCCCATCTATTCATCATACCTCACCCTGACTACCAACCTACTTCACCCCTTCATCCCTACGAGACGATCCCGCCGCTTGACTAGTAGCTGATCGTTGACCTCTTATAACAACCCCACCATACCCTTCAACTCTTTTTTCTTACCCTTCCTTCTTCACGACCTCATTCGTCCGTACCTTTTTCGATATTTATTCAAGGCGCGCAAACTAGATCCCTTGTCTCGGGACCGCCAAAATATTTATCTTCATTTCATTTCAACACGCTGATTTTCCATTTCCCATATCTTCGTCACGTCAGGCTCTCGCATCTCTACATATCCCTGACCTATTGTCCTCGAATATCTATCCGTATCATCACTCCATATCCCGTCTCCCATACTTTGCGTCAAACTTTACTCCAATGCCTCCTCAATTACTACCTGCTTCGGCAGCTGCATTTGCTCCAAGAGCTTCATCCGTCAATGTTGTGTTAAGTTCAAAGGTTGAGCCATGGTTAACACAAACCTTAAAGCGTATAAATCGTATAAAGCGTCCTCTAAACAGTGTACCCCAGCACCAAAGATGCTTAACGGAAACACTATCTTCGTCAACAGCTATATGGACTCTTGGATCTTTGATGTTATCGAAAGCCCCGGAACAAAGACGCGAAGACTCAAACCCATTAGTTGAGGCCATGTTCAACTATCAACTCATTCACATTGAAGCTTATGTTGTTCATGTGGATATGGTATTAAGAAATGAGGTTGCCTACAAACTTACTCCAGATACGATAGAATCACTTATCGAGTTTCACAAGGATGTTCATTGCCTAGATATTGCAGCGAATACCTACAACTGGTCAGAGAAGGATCAACAAGTGAAGAAGATGCACGAAGACTTCATTCAAGCTATTAACAAGTTCGTCTACCGAACTCATGTCTCTGCATTAGAGGGACTGGAAGAAGATGGCGCTGGTGAATTGTTATGCGGTAAAAGTGATGAAGTCAAGAACAATATCATGGGCCTTTTCCTTCCTCTACTTCCCCCACCACCAAGGGTCGTCGATGTGGTTAGACCTGCTACATTATTGCCTAGCTCCCCAGCTGGCATGAATTGGTGGTCGCAACCCACGATACCAGTAACAACCGCAGCCCCTGTTGACCCATGGAGGATGGTTCCTTCAAGTCCAAGTACGACATCCTCCATGTCCTCTGCAGCCGACACTCAATCTTTATGGGCAAGTATGGGTTTGAATGAGATTCAACTGCCTTCCCCTACACCATCTTATAGCCAACCATTCACCACCGCCGGACTCTTCTACAGCGCACCACAAGTTAGTGCGCCGATTCCAGCACTTCCTCTACCAAGCATGTTAGCACAACAGCATTGCGGTATTGGTATGGGATATGGTGGATTTGGTGGCTTCGGAGGTGGATGGGACCGATATCAGGAGTACGCTACAACGATGTGACAACCAAGGCCTGGATCGTTAAACAACCCCCCTACTACCCGCTCCGGGGTTTAGGGCAGGCGACAGTATCACACATAATACCATGGCTCCAAGCCTCTGTACACGACAACAAACACTACATACATGGCATCGGCAAACTTCTTTAGCGGCATTTGATACCTCTGAGGGCACTTACGGCGTTTTTACATCTTCATTATCATCCTCATCTGCGATCGAGCGAACAAAAGATATCCTGGGAACAAATCATACTTAATAATCAGCAAGAACAACAATCTCCTTTCATTACAGATACATAATAGGATACCATTTTTTTCTATCTTTTTGATTTTTTTCATTTTATTTTATTTTAGCGCAGCGAGTTCGGATTTGCTTTTACACGACACTACACAACCGCAAGACCGGTTCAAACAATTTTCCTTTTCATCGCATATGGCAGGACCTAAAGGCGGGTTATTTTGAAGCATTTAGTGGCATGGTTCCAAGATTTTCATATCATAAAGAGAATACCTTATTAAAAGGATAACGCAGCAATGCAGGGCTTCACGGGCGCGTCTGGATACATTGATTTTTGTCTTTTTTTTTTTACCGTTTGAGATATTATCTTACGTTTGTTTTGGGGGAAGGAAACCGGCTTTTTCTACGTCCATTTCCTTTTTGTTTCTGTTTACGAATTTATGAATCATGGATGCTTATGAATTTTGCTTGGACAAAGATCAAGGCGTATGATTTATGGATTCACGAAAATAGAAATTGGGAACACAAAAAGACCATCTGCTGCGCAGATCGACACAACCAATGGACGAGATACTAGCCTTCCTCTACGCGGACAGCAATCAGCGGACAAATTGTTTAGATGAAATCATCAAACTGCAACCACTTCAACTCTCGCTAGTCGAGGTTGGCATTGGAAGCGAACAGCCTGGATCAAGTCATTCTATCAGAAGAGACGAATCCTTTCAGAAATACTCTCGATATCGGCTCACCATCTCGAATGCGGATCGATCAATACCTGCAAGCCGGGCGATTGAATCTTACATGTTGGGGGTGAGCTTGTTATTTGGGTGGATTTGTTTAAGGGTTTGGATGTTCTGTAGAAGAGGGAGTGAAGGGCAAATGGTAGATCATCACTACATCTCTCAAATACTATCCCATGCTGTTATACTTGATGTATAGCAATTTGAAGGTAGTGTTTGGAAGAAAGCTGAGAATTCTCTCTCGTCCTGCGGACAGAGTGAGATGGAGGTATCGATGCAGGTTTCTTTTTTTTCGGCACAGGGCAAGGGAACAAAGGGAATGGAATCTATCATACTGGCTATGTGGATTATGGGAGAACGGTGGTTACATGGCTAGTACATGGATTACTAAGTATGGAAAGAGAAGGAACAATACTGTGTGTAGGTAATCTTGGACTTGAACCTGATACCGAGAAAAAGACTGAAAATACAAATAAAATGAAAATCATGGAAATCTATTCAATCCTTTCCTGGCTTGTGATCTTTTGCTCTGTTGAGGTGAGGTGACTTCAGTATCACATGAATGTAGCATGTCACTCGCGAACTCAAAAACTCTTCACACGAACAAAACAATGTCAGCCACTATCAAATCCTTCTCCCATCCAGCCGGCCTTCAACCGAAAGGATTCTCCCCAATGCATCTGGATCCGTAATGAAACAGGGCTATACCCCGATTGGTCAGCATTACGAACATTGAAGCGATGCCCAAACCAATACCCGCTCTCGCCGCCAATCCCAGCCACATAAACGAGCGATTTTACTACTCATTTAGGAAATCCGAATCCGAGGGCTAGTGGGCTGAAAAGTAAAAAATTTGGCGGGAGCCGTGGTATCGTTAGATTACAGTAAGACGATATCGGCAGGTACGTTGTTGTATATTGATATGGGGTCCCCTCTTCCGTATCTGTGCGTCTAGAACCCATACCTTGTCGACAATGTATATAGAGATCTTCATATTACGGCGCTGAAGTTTTATTATGCGGTATGTGGTATGTGGTATGTTGTATGCAGGTAAAAGGAGCTTTTTGTACTCCCACTCGCAAATTGTAAAATTCGTTCCATGTCTCCGTGCTAGCATTGTTTACTACCTGCCTGTCGTGCTCCCCGAATTTCATTTCTGACATCTGTCATAATCCCAAGAGATGCAGAGGTACGGCGTAGTGAAGCTGTAATACCTGGAGAAACAGCATTGATTGATTGATTTAGTATATAATATTTACGTCGCCCTATCCGTGGACAAGCGCTTTTGCCGACGACTCAGGTCCTCATTTTCATTTTTGAGCTCTCACTTTGCGGCACAGCTGATCATCCTACTCACATTGGATTGTAAGCGCGGGTGTACTAACTTCGTTAGGTGTCAATACGAAGTAATCTGTCGGATATCATGGGATGAAATGATGTGATATTCTGTGTCTCCACCTACCCTACCAGAACAAACCCATACATTCTATTGCATCCCCCGAAACGTCTATTAGAGCAGCGAAAAAAAGCCACAGTCACCCAGAAAATGACCATTGAAGAAACCCATCTTGAAATCGTGCCACATCATTCCGTAACCTCGCAATCTAATCAAACATTATAAGCGCCCAGTCTATTAGCCAAGCTCCAATGATTCCTACCCAATCAAGCATAACGCACCCTCCAGAGACTTAAAAAAAGAAAAACCTAAAATCGAATACCACACTCCAGTAAATAACTTTTCATGAATCGTACTCAATCAAGACAAGCGAGACAACTCCCATTCTCGGTCCTTCTCATCCACACACCTCCAATCCTCCCGCACACATCCCTCTCCAGTTAGTCATTAGTGCATCGAGATATTTGTGCATACTGATTGTGACCAAACGTCTATGACCCGCATGAGTTTTCAGTCATGTGAGTCTCATTTTCTCCTCAACTCTGCCATCGATTGGCCGAGTGATCGTCAGATCAGCTATGCGTATGCAAAAATAGAGAATTTGCGCGATTTCTTGATTTCGATGCAGATTCTCGAGAAGGACAATGCAATCGTTTACAGATACGGTATTCGAGACCTTGGAGATGACCCGCATGAAGTTTCGGTCATGTGAGTTTTAGGTTACCCCTCTTCTTGATATTTTGTTGATGGGTTGAGACGTTTGATGGGAGACGGTTGAGTTGAGATACATGAATCGTGTTGCATCGAATGCGGTAAGGAAGGGAGGAAAGGATTCGATGTGATCTAAATGATGACTCGCATGAAAATTCAATCATGTGAGCTGCATCTACGAGAGAATTCTAAGAAATATTGGCTAACCCCTACTGAGATATCCATATCGAGCAACAAGAGTTCTGTTCCAAGTTAGAACTCCTTTTAAAGCCTGGATTC